TGCACCTTGTGCACCCTAACAATGTGGGGAGAATAACCAGGGGGGTAGTCCACAGAAGGGTAAGCAAAGGGGGGATAGTTTGGTTCCCAATGGGGGGGGGGGAAGAATCCATGAGGGGAGAAGGGAACGACAATAGGTCAGGAGTGGAAGGAGAGTGGGAATCAGTCACGGAGGGGCCCTTAGAAGAGGGGGAAGGGCTGCAGAGTTGAGGCAGAGAAAGAGAGGAAGCGAGGGAAGAAAAAGTTGACGGAGGTGAAGGAGGGGGAGGAGGAACTGAAGAGGTAGAAGGAGGAAGACCGAACAAGACAGACGAAGGCTGCATGATGGGATAAGGACACGTGGCAACCCGGGAGGGAGGCGACGAGGTCGAGGGAGGCTCGAGGTCAGGGACCTGACCTGCAGACGAAAAATTCGAGGGGGCTGAGGCACTTAGGAAAGATGGAAAGGAGGGAGAAATAAATGCAAAGGGGATAGGGGGGGTGGCGTGGCAGCCAACCCATGGGAGGGATGGCCAACTGGCAGCAGGGCAGAGAGAAGGACAACAGGTGGCAAGTGGGCCGTCAAGGCGGTAGGTGGGATGGCAGCTGGCTGATCAGCTGGCGGGAGGTGATCGATAGCACAGTGGTAGACTTCGCCGTCAACAAGGCAGGAGCAATCGGGGTAGAAAGAAGAGGGGCAGGTGGCGATTGGTCCGACAAAGGGGTTGGTGGGAAGGCGGCTGGCTGTCCAGCTGTGTCGAGAGGGTGATCGACAGCAGAGGGGGCAGGCTCCACAGGCAACATGGCAGGAGTGATTGCAAGTGGCGTGGCAGACAACCCAGGCAACGTGGCGAGTCGATCCGCAGATGCAGTCGACACGTATCACCAGACACCAAAGAGGCAGCGGTAGGGAGGCACATGCGAACAGTAGGGGGAGGCTCAAGAAATATGGGTGAAATTGGGCTAGGGTCCCCGGAATGGCCTGAATAAGGGACCTCGACGAAAGCGGAAATGAGCTCTTTACCGGATCGTCGGGGAGGCCAAAAAAAGGAAGCAGCAGGGGAGGAATCTGGGGCACCCGAAAGGGCTGTGAGGGAAGTTGGGCCAGGGGGATGGCTTCAGCAAGGACAGTGACCCTGAGAGGGACACTGATCCTGAGAGGGACACTAACCTACCGGGTCGCCGGTCATGCTCTTGCCTTTAGCTGGGCCAGCCGGGGCTCGAGGTTGCCAGACGAGCTTCTTGGAAGCGGAGACAGGAAGAATCATGGACGGGCCAGGGCGAGGGTTGGCCGCACCCCGCTGATGGCACCTCCTGAGACTACGTTTCCTGTGAATCACGGGAATCCAAATCCAAGCAAGAGGATTTGGGGGTTGAGAACCGGGGGGGTGTGTGTGGGGGCATGGTTGAAGAAGGAGGAGGAAGGGGGTGAGGCTTCCGTCGAAGATAAATAGATGCGGAAGAAAAGAGACTGCACTTTGAGCCATAAGTTGGTAGGGATAGAACTGGAATCCAGGACATCAATGAGCAGGCAAATGGAACCAAGGGGAAGAGTCTCAATGGATTTCCAGTGAATTGCAACTAAATCTCCGCAAGCTTCGGCTATCTTAGAGAAGGTCATGAGATCTAATGGAACTAAATCTCCGCAATCTCTCTCCCTCTCTCTCTCGAAACTTTTATTAATATAAAAGAGATTTGAGAGGAGCATGAGACCTATTGGACTCTCTTTTCCTCTCCC